TGTCATGAGTTTGTTTTGCTTGTTCATTTGTTGATTTTGGCTTTATATCTCACATGAGTGAAATTATACAATTCTTGTCCTTTTCTGTCTGACTTATTTCATTTGGTATGATACTGTCAATATCCATTCATGTTGTGGCAAATAGCAGTAGCTTCTTTTTTATGGCTGAGTAATATTGCATCATATACATATCACATCTTTATCTAGTCATCCGTCAAAGGACAATTCGATTGTTTACATATTTTGGCTATTGTGAATAATGTTGCAATGAACACAGGGATATATATATGGAGATACTTCGGCTTTGTCCTCTTTTCCCAGGATTGCTTTGGCTACGTGGGGTCTTTTGCAGTTCTATACAAATTTGAGGATCTTTTCTTCTATTTCTGTGACAAAGGCCATTGAATTTTGACAGGGATTGTATTGAATCTGTAGATTGCTTTAGGTAATATGGACATTTTAGCAATGTTAATTCTTCCAATCCATAAACACAGAATATCTTTTCATTTCTTTGTATTCTCTTCAATTTCTTATAGTTTTCAGTGTACAGGTCCTTCACTTCAGTTGTTAAGTTTATTCCTAAGCATTTTATCCTTTTTGTTGTATTGTAAATAGGATTGTTTTCTTCATTGCTTTTTCTTATATTTCTTTGTTAGGATATAAGAACACAACAGATTTTGTATATTGATCTTGTATCCTGCAACTTTAATAACTTGTTTATTGTTTCAAATAGTAGTCTTATAATTTTTTAATATATTTTATTGATTTTTTTTACAGAGAGGAAGGGAGAGGGATAGAGAGTTAGAAACATCGATGAGAGAGAAACATCGATCAGCTGCCTCCTGCACACTCCCCACTGGGGATGTGCCCGCAACCCAAGTACCTGCCCTTGACCAGAATCGAACCTGGGACCCTTGAGTCCACAGGCTGATGCTCTATCCACTGAGACAAACCGGTTAAGATGTCTTATAATTTTTAACTACACTATTCATTTTATTCCCTCCTGTCTCCTCACTCTGATATGTCACTGCCACTCTCATATGCAAACATTTGCCAACAGAGAGAGGGCAACAAAATCCACAATTCCCGTCGACTTATAACCCAAATGTAATAAGATTGAAAAGTAAACCAAAATTAAATATTCCTAATGTGATCTCCTGCAAGCTTCAATTTGCATTTTGAAACCAGAGCACAAGGCGAGGCTGGTCACAGCATCAAAATGATATACCTTAAATCTACTCTTATTTTGAATAATCCCAATGATTTTTTAAACAAATATATATGTGAGAAAGGAGGAGAGAAGCAAAAGGAAAGTAAGAGGAGAAAAGAAGTTAAATATCTTAACCACAGACTATATAATAGTGTATTAAAATCAGAGCCTACCTCTGGCTAAGATTTGCAGTGACATGAGACTAATTAACTAAGAGCGAGTAGGTTCTGTTTAACTAAATTAATAAAGCAATTGTTTTTATTATTTTAGTCCATACTCTGACTCCATAATAGCTACTAATAAGCTAAGCCACTTTGGGATTTTACAGGTGAGTTTCATTATCACTGTTTTTTTATTTCATGAAAAGAACTATGGTAATAACTAATAAAAGACTAAGGTTTTTGTTAATAAAATGAACAATTAAGCTTGGAAATCAATGGACGACTAGACAAAAGCAGAAATCATTTATTTGCTGGAATTTTTTTAATTTTCTGGAGATGGCAGTATTAAATGTGAAATCATATCAGTCCTTTCTGAACTTTAAGCTATCTTTTAAGAAACTCACCCAGCCATTTTTTTATTCCTCCCACAATACTGCTGCTAACAAAAAGAATTTTTTAATTACCCAAATTAAACTTCAATAATAAGAACTTTTTCATTGCACATTTGTACATCAAAATGACTTCTTAAATGCCTGTTGACTCCGTTTTAAAGATCCCACTTTCAAGGTTCTAACTCAACAAGTACTATTCTAATTGAGTCAGCCACACATGACATTTAAACCTCTTAGCTCACTTGCCTGCCCTCTCACTGACCTTGCTTCCTCCCACTTGTGGCCAGAAAACTCAAGATAGTAAATACAGAGTTGAGAGACCTAGGGGTGTGGGGGAAAGTTTCATATGAAAAAGTTATTATTCATTTGGCCATTTGCACTATTATGTATTTTTCTTTTGAAATATAATCTTCTGCCTTCAACGAGAGAGGATATATTATATCATACAGTGTATGCATTAGAGAAATTAAGATGACTGCTAGAAGACAGCACCACTTAAAAGCCAAATTGTTTTTAATTGGTGTGAACTTGATGAAGACCTTAGGATAGTGGCTTGGGAGATAAGCCAGTAAGGCTATTTGATATTTGATAAGACTCTCACTTGGGAGATATAAAATAGATGTTTATTGGTTTTGCTCTTAACCCTAACTAGATAGTCAAAAATACACACACGCACATTGCATACTTATTTTCATTTTTCATTTAGTTGCTGCTTTAAAATAAATGTTTCAGCCTTTGCATTGAGTTCATGGGGCATCAGTAGCATGCCCGTTTCTACTCTGGGCTTTTCCTGTATCTTCTTGGTCCTGGAAAGAGACCAAATGCAAAGTGATCCACATTATAGGCAAGGAGAGCTGAGTGTTTAGTTTGCTCATCGTTTATATTCCCAGAATTCATCAGGGACTCACTTTGGAAGATAAAACATGGATCAATTTAGCTACTTGTCATTCTTACAAGCTTTATACGTGTGTGGTGGGGGAGGGGAGATAGAAAGTAAGACCTAAAATAAGGTTGGAGATTATTTACCAGTCTCAGTATGTTTGGCATCTTCACTAAATGTTCTGTAGCAGGAGTTAGTAAACTACAGCCCACAGGCCAAACTCAGACCTTTCCACTACCCTTTCTACCTGACCCCCAGTTTTTGTAAAAGTTTTATTGAAACACAGCTGAACCAATCTGTTTGCATGTTGTCTCGGGCTGCTTTCATACTATGTTGGCAGTGTTGAGTTGTTGCCACAATAAAGACCTACAAACATGGCCACAAAATCTAAAATATTCTCTATCTGGCCCTTTACAGAAAAAGCCAGCTGCTCTTTTCACAATGGTCACTGATGAGAGCTGTGATAGGTGACAGCACAGTAATCCGTATTGCATAGGGAAAGCTAGTAGGGTGCCGTTCTTCTTGTGAGCTTGTCATCTTCTTGGATTTGAAAACAAAATTCAGCACAACATTATTAAACAAGCATTGTTCATCACATTATGCTCCAGTTGGCAGACTTATCATTTACTTTTGGGTTTTTCCTGTATCTGAAATTGTTTAGTATATTGCATTTGTTTTGCATTTTCCTTTATGTCTGTACCTGGAATGTAATATTCAGTGTCTGTGTATTTGTCATGATGCTTGTTCCAGGAGCCAGGCAGGTATATAGGAGTGTGAAAGAAGAGGCTTAAGATTATTTCTGAGGGCAGATTTTGGTTTTATTTTTCTAACGAGTCCCCATAAGTAGCATTATTTAAAGACCACGAGAGTTTTTAATCTTTTAGGGCACTGTTTTTCCCCAGCTTCTCTAGGTGCCAGAAGATGAAGTCAAGAATTCAAAAACAAGAGAGGGAGGGAGGTCACATTGTGAGGAGAATTTCTTGGGAATAATCCTGGGTGGCCCTTCCTCCCTCATCCACCTTCCTGACAAGGTTGCATGTGACTTTCAATCTCTCCGAGGGGGGTGGCTCCTTAAGGATAACAAATGTTAGACCCTTCCTAAAGGGACTCCTTCCATGCCTGAGATGCCACGCCAGGTCCCCCTGCTCCGTGCACAGCCCAGGCTCAGGCTCAGGACGCATCCTGGTTGTGGTCTTTCCAGTTTGAAAACTTGGATTGGTATTCTGTGAGAATTTCAATTTCCCTAAACTAGATATGAACCATTTGCACTCGCTAGGATTGAACGCTAGAACCTTCTTATCAGTTCTTTCCTTTACTGCCAAAGTCAAGTTTAAGGAGCCAGGTTTGCATGCCTCCTCAGCACAGCTCCCTGTGAGAAAGCAGTAGGATTGTGGAAAAATAAAAAATGTTTATTCCAAAGTTCTTTCTCCAGACTATTTTACTAACTTTTTTAAAATGTTAGCAGTTCCCTCTGGGCTTTTTTCCCTAGGCCCCTCTCAAGGTCATTGCAGTCATGGCCATTGTTGATTAGTGGGAAGGGAAAAAAAATACTTTAAAAAAATGTGGATATTGTTCTACATTCTAGAGAAACTCAGAGATAAACCAAGTCCTGACTATTGTGGCTTCTCTCTCAGGGGTTGGGGGGTACAGGACACACTTGTATGAAAGCACAGCCTCTCTTTAATGTCACATGCCTGTGGACTTAAATTTGTAGCACAGATTTTTCTCTGTGATATAAAAAGAACTGTAGTCCAGACTTAATTCAAAGAATGTGTGAGGAACAAGACTGCTCCATTCTTGGAAACTTACAAAATACGAAAAAGAAAACAAAAAACTTTTTCTGCATATAAATAAATCTTGGGAAACACATTGTGCAGAAAAGCAAAGAAAATTACAGAATATGAGATCCAGACTAAGAGAAATACTTCCTTAAATATCTCCAAGGGCTTCTTTTGTTAGAGTTTTTAGTATCAGAATTAGCCTGCTGTAAGAATAGCCAGCATCCTGCAGCAGGCACAAGTGCTGGGATTTAGAGCGAGAGAGAAGAAACCATCAATTCCCTGTTCGGAATTGCGACCCCTGAGGGGGCAAGGCAGGCAGAAAGCAGGTGGTCTGTGGCTGGAATGTCTTACAGCTGGGAGTTCATATGACACTGGAAGAGACCAATCCAGAAACAGTGGCAAATGAGCTGATGAACTAAACAGAAGCGCCCAGCAGAGGACAAGGTGGCAGGGCCCTGAGCACATCCTGAGAGGGCACTGGGCCATGGCAGCAGGTGGGACGCACCCCCTCCCGGCGCCCAGGCTCTCCTGCCTGGGGCTTCTCACCCTGTCCTCTTGTTTGCTTGCCAACTGCAGGTTCGTCCCAGAGGCCTGGTCAGCCTGCACGGTTACCTGTGGTGTGGGGACCCAGGTGCGAATAGTCAAGTGCCAGGTGCTCCTGTCTTTCTCCCAGTCGGTGGCCGACCTGCCTGTGGACGAATGTGAAGGCCCCAAGCCAGCATCCCAGCGAGCCTGTTATGCGGGACCATGCAACGGAGAGCTTCCTGAATCCAACCCGGGAGCGACGGATGGCCTCCTCGGTGGCCTGCAGGACTTTGATGAGCTGTATGACTGGGAGTATAAGGGCTTCACCAAGTGCTCTGAGTCCTGCGGAGGAGGTAAGAAGGGAGATTCTGGCTTGGATCCCCACCATCTTCTTGTCCTCTTTCTGTACCTTCTCTCCCTGTGTGCAACTGTGTCACGTGACTGCCTCTGGTCCAGGAATGATAAGCAGGGGGAGGAGCGGGGGGAGCCTTTCTAAACATAAAGCAAACTGAATGAAACCCAGATGTGTCTCTCCTGGCCTTGAGGAGCTCTGAGATTGTCAGCTGGGAGTGGCCAACACAGCTTATTCTTTTACTTTCCGTTGTCATTCTGGTGTTTTGCACAATATCCTGATGGACCTGACTGAGAAACGCGGTTGACACGGACCCAGCAATGCCCCCAACTTTCAGTTTTACTCATCTAGGCCCTGGCCTCAGTGCACACGGGATTAACCAGAGCCCAAGACGACAGAACTGCTATTCCCAAGAATAACTTCTAGTGCCTCTGATTTACTCAGCTGATTTCCCAAATATCTGTTCCCAAAGAGAAAGGGTGTATAAAGGGCAATTCACACCGCGGTCACCTGTAACTGGAGGGGAGTTGAAAGATTGAAGTCGGACCCCACCGCCATGTTTCAGATGAGAAAACGAAGATATAAAGAAGCTGAGTGACTTGTGCAAGATCACACCGCTAGTGCATGACAGCTGGGACTGGGCTTGCCATTTCTTCCTTTCTGTCTAGAGTGCATCACAGCACACTTCTTTAAGCACCTAGAATTCCTGAAGCTTTCTCATGAATATGATTGAACTAGTGTTAAATGGTCCATGTATTCTGACCTGGTTCCTGGATGTATTTCATGGTGATTTAAATAGACTCAGTGATTATTTTGGGTGAAATCTGAATGGGATTGTGGTGGGAGAAAAAGGCATTTAAATCAACAACTAATTCGTCGAGATTACATTATAGAATGTAATTACCATTTTAGAAAATACATTACATTTTCTTACCATTATAGAAAATACATTACGTTCCTACTGCCATTGCCTCCCATTGAGATTTTGATAGGTGAGGAAACTCTGCTGACCTCCTGCCAAATTCCCCTCTCTGGCTATCAGTGCTCTGCATTCCCAGCAAAGTTTCTTAAGTGGTGCTCCCTCTCCCCCTTCCCCTCTTCCTTCCACTCTCCAAAAATCAATGGAAAAAATATCCTCACTCCTCAGGTGAAGATTGAAAAAACAAGGCATCTTTTGTCATTATTGAGAATGTAAGGAGAAATGTGCCCAAATTGTTCCCATGGAGTTGAAAAGGAATGAATAGTGGAACAAGTACTAGCAAAGAATCGATTTTCTCCAACACAATTTTTAATAAGCGTTTAATAGTTTTGACCTTGAGATTCTTGTTTGTTTCTAAGCCTTCCAGTTTGAAACCATGAAATTCTTAAGCAGTTTAATGGAGAGCCCTGTTCTCTTAAAACCTAAATTTTTCCATCTGATTCTGGAAGAGTTTCTTGGAACTCAGCTCATCGATGTTCTTTTGGTGTTCTTCCCTCACACGGAGGACATCTTTCTGTCCTTAACGAGGGAGAAGTGTTAAATAAGCTGGTGATCTCTGAGCCCGGGCAGGGGCTACGAGATCATGTAGAAAGGCCACCTGCCAGTGGCTCCCATGGCTTCTTTCCAACATAAGGAATGACTCAAGAGTTCCGATGGTGTGTGTTTATCCCCAATTTCCGTGATCACCTGAATTGAATGATCATTATCTCTAGTCTAAAACAAACATGCTTTGAAAAACATTACTTCTGGTCTCTCAGTTATGGTTCTCAGTTACAAGTCATGCCTGGAACTTGATGAGCAGATGGAAAAAATAGATGCAGTAATGGAATATATAAATAAGCGGATACCTTTATGTTTAAGAGTCTAACTATTTTGCGGATCGACCAAGGGCATAAAATTCAAAGTGGAAAGAGTATATGGAATGTTTTTCATGTGAAATGTTTTCAGGAGATGCTGATTTAGAAATAAGACTTGGATGTTGGATGTGCCATTGATCTCTGCCTGTAGGAACTGAGCGTCTTTGTATGACATAAATTGTACATCCTTTCTGTCCAAGGCAGCAAAGTTAATGAAATGCCTTAGTTCTTAGCTGTCAAAAACTGTGCTGGCTTACCTACAGTTGTGTCCCTGTGCCAACGTCCTATATTTACACCTAAAATGTCCTAGTTGAAAACTCCAAACTGGTGAAAATAGGCCTCGGCTATCTGGGCCCATATGATGCCCATATGCACTAAAAAATTATTTTGTTATGTGAGACAGGTACATTTTGAAGTCAGTGTTTGGCAGTAACATTTTATTGTATTATCAACTTTGATCTTTCACCAAAATATAACCCACGAGGTTACATATATTTTTAATCATTCTTGCTGAAGGCAACCAAAAACGTACAAGATTAACAGGTAGATTTTTTAAAAAAAAAAAAATCAATTGTGGGCTGTAAGGCCATTCGGGCTAATTTTATTGTTTTTGTACTCTCAAGAGAGGAAATTGGATAGACACAAAAGTAACCTTTCGCCTAGCAGAGGTAGCAACCAGAAGGAACTAGTTAGTAATTTAGACTGTAGTGGGTGACTAAGTTTCCCCAAGCTGTCATCAAATATCATGTAACAATTAAGCTATTCTGAGAGAGAGAAACAGTGAAAATCCCATTTTCTGGAAGATTAAAAATGAGCCTAACCTGTTGGTGGCTGTGTCCTAGGTCCCACTATCAACTCCTCGTTCTATTTTAATTTGCCTACGTACGGTATTAGGTGTGGTCAAGGATTTGAACCTGAACAACTTTCTGACATTGAACTCCTAGATGGTAAAAGTCAACATTGAACTGTAGCTGAGGGAAAACTCGAAATTTACTTTAGCAAGAATGAAGACGTCTTATACCTGCTGTTCACTTTTCCTTATGAGTCCTCTCTCCTTTTGCTTCTGTCAAGAAAGGAAAACTCAAAATCATATACTACTGTAGTTATACATATGTTCTGCATTGGTTTAGAACGTCCTTCTCGGTGCATATATTAGCCTGTTTGGATAGAGCACAAACTGGATGAGCTAACTTCTCACTTCCTGGCCTGACTCCCCTGGGCCAAGGATACTGTGAACTTGAAGGTGAAGTCCTCACAGTTCCTCCCTCCTCCAACTTCCCACACTCCCAGGTCCAAGGCAGTTCCCTCACTCCATGTTCCTCCCTCCTGGCATCCCATCCCTTCCTCCCCTTAGCCATAATTGCACACTATGCTTAGAATGCCCTGCCCTTTAGGCATTTCATTCCATTCGTCAGGCCACAAAAATTTATTGTGCGTTGACGACAGGGCTGGTCCCAGATACTCCTTTCTTATGACAGAGCTCTGTCCTTCCTTTCCCCAACCATCCTGAGCCCCACCTAAAAATGCCGAGTCAACTGGCCTCTATCGCAATAGACCTTTAACTCCTAGTGTTGTGGAGGCGCGGTACATTGTTTTATCATACGCTAGATTAGAATCAAGTAACTCTAAAATGCTGCTTAATCTCAGCTATTAACCATCCCAAAGGTGATTTTGATCTTGAGCTATGATTTTTGGTTTAATGTAAATTTGTGTTCCACAATCCAAGAAAGGAGACTACAGATGTCCTTGTGGAAACTTAACCTTTATTACATCCATTGTTTGAAATCTTAGGAGAACCTAAATTCTATAAACAAGGAGTTCACACAGTGAAAACAGGTCACATTACTCATATACCCCCCCGACACACACACACACCTAAACCTGAAATACTTTTAAATATCGCAAATGATAACATATTCATAGCTGAACAAAGCCCAAATATATTTTATTTTAGAGCAACATTTAGAATCTCTTAAATAAATTGAAAACTTAATTTCTTAATGTGTTTCTTAATATATCCACAGCTCTGAATTCTGAATGGAATTGTTAACCTCATCCGGCGCCTTGCCGTCATTACCTCAATAATGCCAGACTATTCCAGGGGGAAGGGCCAGTGGTGATATCAACTATTTCTTGTGAAATGTTTTGCTATATCATCATTCCATGGACTTCAAATGGCTCATCCCAGCTGGGACCAAGAGAAACACCCTGTAGTCAGCATTACAGAATACGATGGAGTATCTTGAATGTCCCATACAACTCCCAAATTCTCCACTCTGAACTAGCCGTGATATGTTTAAATTGAATTTTGACATTTATTAAAAACTCAGAAAAAAAGAAAATTTACATTCATGGCCACAGGGTAAATATTGTGACTGTTTTTGTTTTTTTTTATGTCTGATGTATGAGACTTACTGGAAGGAAGAAAGGTGATACTGATTCTGGCTTTAAAATGTTACTTTTTGACTAATGGTCTTGTTGGGTGACGTAAGCCAGTATAGTATCACCCTAGGAAGCATTAGCCTGTTGCTGGGGTGATATCTTCTTGGAGAAATATAGGGTAGATAGGAGGAGGGGAACAACAGGGCTAAGAAGTGATGGTCTGTGCGCTGGCCGGTGTGGCTCAGTTGGATAGGTGTCATCCCATGCACCAAAACGTTGCCCATTCGATTCCTGATCAGGACATATGCCCTGGTGGCAGGCTCACTCCCTGGTAGGGGGTGTGTAGGAGACAGCGGATTGATGTTAAGCTCTCACACTGATATTTCTCTTTCTGTCCCTCTCCCTTTCTCTCTCTCTAAAAAAATCAATAAAAATATGTTTAAAAAAAAAAAAGAAATGATGAGTCAGTTGAACTACATCAAGGACTAATTGCAAAGCAATGCAGAAAATAAGAAATACAGGGGTGGACAAAACTATGTTTGCGTTGTAATACAAATAAATAATACAATAATTGATAATAATATAAGAATAAACTGTGTTTTGTGTACTCGTTACTATAAACCTACTTTTGCCCACCCCAGGATATGTGTATTTATATATAACACTAATTCAATGGATTGTCACATATTCTGCTGTAACTACATACAAATATTTAACTACAGATTGGTATCTTTAGCTATACAGATCTCTATATACATAGCTATGTACGACTGAAAGCTTATTATCGAGAATCTTTTGTCTCGCCTGTTCTTTAAACTAAACTCTGCTGAAATGATTCCAGACAAATGTCTAGGCTATTCCTGAAGATCTCAGCAGATAGAACAGCCTCTCAGTATTTTTAAATGTGAACACTGTCAGCGTTAAGGCTCCCATACGAAGGCACAGCTTCATGTTTGTCAACTGTGTGACCTTAGCAAGTCTTTTGACCCTTCCAAGCTTTAGTTTTCTAAGCTGTAAACCTGGGATACAAGTAGTGCATTCCTCATGGAGTCGTTAAGAAGATTGAATGGTGCATGTCACGCTCTTAGCCTCATACCTGGCTGACCATATGCAACCAGTGGGTTTGGACTGTTATTATGACTGTGGGCACCAGAATGAAAAGTCTGGCCCGGGAAGGTAATGACCTTACCCAGTTCGATGCTTCCTTGATCCATGAAAGTCTCCATGACGGGTCCTGCCTGCCACCTTAGACCTGCCAAGTCACCTGTGCCCATCACTGCTCAGATTCCTGTTTTACGAGCTCTGCGTCAGGGGCATGCAGGCATCAGTGGGAACACTGTTTCCATGGTGTAGTCATTATACATCTTGTTCTCTTTCTTTGGTCTAAAGAACTGCCCTGGCTCACTAAAGAAAGGAACCCGAATCACAAGAAACCAACAGAAACTGGAGTCCTGGATGCGAGGCCCCAGGAGAACAGCAGTTTACAGATTGCTGGATATTAAAACATGGCTCTGGGCCTCCCTTCCAAACACAACAATCTCCTGTTGATTAAAATGTAACGTGTGAAGGTCTTGGGGCCATTTTTTTTGTCACCCGGCTCTCCGTCTGCATTAAATTATCACGTTTCTGCGTTGGCAGCTATAGGGCCTGGTGGCATTTTTTTTAAAGCATTTCAACATCCTGGTAGCAGCCTGTCCTCTCGGGGGACACTCCCAGAGGCACGAGCCTACGTGTACTGTCTCCCAGACCGAGCGATGCTTGACAAGATGAGATGGGCAGTCCCGGGCTTGAAACTGCTGTCTCTGACATGTGGCGAGAGTCCTACCAATCACAGGGACCTCCCAGCGGCTGCCTTGTCTACACTTCATCACCCACACACGCCCGCTCGGCCTGACAGTGTGATTTGTACACAGGTGTCCAGGAGGCTGTGGTGAGCTGCCTGAACAAACAGACGCGGGAGCCTGCCGATGAGAACCTGTGCGTGACCAGCCGCCGGCCCCCGAAGCTCCTGAAAGCCTGCAGCTTGGAGCCCTGCCCATCAAGGTAACAGGCATGTTGCCTGCCCTGCTACCCTGGAGCGTGTGTTCGGAGCTGGGTGCGTCCGTCCGTGGGCAAGACCAGAACGCTTATTGTTACCCAGTGTTTTGAAAACCAATTAGCATCAGTTCAAACTGTGAGTCAAATCCACTTAAGTTTAATTGAAACCAGGGCTCTGGAATTCCAGCCCGATGGTCATGCTCAGGGCCCAGAAGGCTCCGTGCACTGAAGTGGTCCCATGGCGTGACCGGTATGTGCACGTGCCGCATGCATGGCAGCTTTCTCCTGGAGGGAATGCAAACTGACCACAGACTCCAGGGTCTCTGCCACCTTGGAGCCTGTATCCCAAGGCCTCATACCACACCCAGTGGATTGGCTCATGGAGCATCTGGGTGGTATAATTGACCCACGGTAAATCTCATGCACACAGCATGTAGATTCATTATAGCATGCTCTGGGGTGTATGTGTGTCATTTCACATGCATAAAATCAATTAGAGCATTTTATTGTTCAGCCCTGCCTGGGTCTCATTATTACCCAACCTTGAGTCTTAGTCAGTCAATCTGATCCCTGCCTCTGTCCACACAATTTTATGGTGTCTTGGGAGACTTTCCTCCTGACACTTCTTTGGAGCAAATCTCTGTGGGAGCTAGTCCGTCTCATCTATGATTCTGGTTTTAAAGGGACAGGTTTACGCAACCAAAGCCAGACTTGCAAGTTGGCTGATGGAATGAAGAATGTTACCAGATAAGGTCATATCCTAGGCATGCAGGGAATGCTGTTTCTGAATGGTATCTCTTTTCTTTCTGCACAGTATCCTGTAAGAAGACGCGTGTTGCCTTCAGGAATTAACAGTAATTTGCTACTCAAGTTGATGCTGCTTGTCTTGTCTCTCAGCCAACTAACTGCTTTCCTTTGGCACGTAGAGGGTACAGATCACAGGCCTCCTCAGATCAGATCAGGGCAATCTCACAGTGGCACTTCTGCCGGTCACAGAGTTGTTCCAGGCATTGATCTGAATGATGAGCCTGGCTTCCCCTTTCAAAGGCAGAAGTGAGGAGGGCCGCTAGAGCCATATTCTCCAAAGGAACCAGAAGATCAGTCAGCCGCTGCTCAGAGCCCCACTCCACTCGGGAGAGTGGCAGCCAGGGAAACAAAGTCAAGGGCTGGCCCCACTAGAGCTAGATCCAGTACATGGAATGCTGGAAACCTCTTTTCTATTTCTGCCTGACCTAAATTTACACCTCCGTCCTAACCTCGCTGCTCTCCCGTTGGGTGAATCTAAGACCTAATTGCCTGGGCAAGGGATACAAACCCCTTCTATTTGACAGTCTTTTCCCCATGTAAGAAGAGGCTGAGCGGTTTCAGCATGGACAGCCAACTAGGGCCATGGCTAGGAGGCCCAGAGGCCTGGCTTCCCATCCTAGCTCTGTCACTACTAGCTGTGCAGCACTGGGCAAGTCACCTGCCCTTTCGGTATCCACATCTGCCAAATGATCGGAGGGCACCACCTCCTGCTCAGATATCCCCTGACTCTTCATTTTTCTGATTCTTTTTATTTTATTTAATATATTTTTTATTGATTAAGATATTACATATATGTCCTTATCCCCACATTATCCCCACCCACACTCATGCCCTCATGTCTGTGTCCATTTGTTAGGCTTATATGCATGCATACAAGTCCTTTGGTTGATCCTTCCCCCTCCTATATGCTTGCATATAAGTCCTTTGGTTGATCTCTCCCCCTTACCCCCACCCTCCTCTACCTTCCCTCCAAGGCCCGACAGTCAATTCCTCTCTGTCTCTGGATCAGTTCTTGTTCATCAGTTTATGTTGATCATTATATTCCACAAATGAGTGAGATCATGTGGTATTTATCCTTCATTGACTGGCTTATTTCACTTAGCATAATGCTCTCCAGTTCCATCCATGCTGTGGCAAATGGTAAGAGTTCCTTCTTTTTTTACAGCAGTGTAATATTCCATTGTGTAGATGTACCACAATTTTCTAATCCATTCATCTGTTGATGGGCACTTAGGTTGTTTCCAAATTTTAGCTATGGTGAATTGTGCTGCTATGAACATAGGGATGCATATATCTTTTCTGATTGGTGTTTGTGATTTCCTGGGATATATTCTTAGAAGTGGGATCACTGGGTCAAATGGGAGTTCCATTTTTAACTTTTTCTGTAGAGTGAAGACTACTTCTGCTTTATTGTGCTGATCATTGCTGTCACTTCTGTCTGCTTATTTACTTTCACTTTAAAAACAAGCAGAAATGTCTCCCTAACCACATCCCAGTGTAGTAATGACATCCAAATGCTGTGATGAGCTGAGGCAATGTCGAGGAGTCGGTACCTGGAACTAGCTGGAATTCTGGGATCTGCAGCCACTAAACCTGCCCTTTCCTGGGGCAGCGGAGGGAATAGGACACAAGATGTTACTTTTCATCCTCCGAGTATTAACGATGTTAAATTAGATGAGCTTAATTTATACTGACTTCAACAAGGACTTATGTTCCGCTTCACTTTATTTCATTTGCTCCAGAGGCACTCGGTACTTTGATTTTCCACTAGTCAGTGGTCAGACTGACAGGCCAGACCTCTCTTGTTGGGCATAGCCAGGGATTTCATGGGCCAACCAGACACAGATGAGCATTTGTAGGTTGATGCTTATTAAAACAACAATGTGGACACGTGGGCTGGTATGACTCGCTCTCTTGTCCCATCAAAGAGCCAAAGCAGATTTTCACTTTAACAATGAGAAATGTATGGAGGTAACTCATATGGAATATTTCAATGTGACATCAAGGGGGGAAATCTCTCTCTTTCTAAAGGTTGGTGTAAAATGTATATGAAAGAGGAGGTATGTTTGGCAGGAGCGTAATCGTGTGGTGGTGCGTTCTCACTCACCTTGTGTTCAGTGGGAGTAATTTAAATCTTTAAACCACAGAAATTTTTATTGTGCGTAGACCCGTGTTTTCTGCACATTTTAGAGTGTCCTCTGCTGGGCCCCAAGTTTCTGTACATTGTCTTTTGGGCTCTTGGTCTGTGTTAATGTCCATACGTTCAAAAGGCCATAGCATTTTCCGTGGGATGGACAGAAATGACGTTTCAAGTCTGGGCCACTGGGCTTACGTCTCTGAGAGGAGGCCGCTGGTTAAGGAGCTTTCCTAGGGAATTGTTAGTTCTACTGAACACCAGTTAGGAAGCCGCTTTTGCTCTTGTGTGTGCTCAGAGTTATCAGATCCCAGGGTGCATACCAAGGCCCCAGGGCATGTCCTATCTGGGCAGTCTTCCTAAGATTACACATCCCTTCCCCTGACTTCCTCTGTGTGAATGGCAGAGCTGGTATCAGAAGCACGTGTCCAACTTTCAGCAGGTCTGGGCAGATACGTTCTCACACCCAGCTGTTCGCAGCAGGACGGCTGTATTCTGAGGTGAGAGATACTGTCCTGCTGTTCCCACTTGCGTGTGTGTGTATGTGCATGCGCACAAACTGCCTGCATTTTGGGGGAGCACTTTAAAAAATAGTAGTTGTCTGTTGAAGAGAACTATATTTTAAAGTTCTTGCTGTCAGCTTCATGTCGTACTCCTCCTCTCTCTGCAACTAATGCCTACCATAATGTCTGACACATAGCAGGGGCTTATTAAGTGTTTACCGAATAAATGGATATAAAGGACTAGGGCCAATTTTATAAGTAGTAGGGTTTATACCCTATTATTAATGCTAGCTGGGAAGACCCCAATGCTGCCTACTCTCAATCCCCCTATCCCTTCCCTCCCATGTACCAGGTGGTACTGAATTGCCATTGTTTAAGAGTCCCTTCCCTAAGTTGAAGACTTTAAATGCCAATTTAAAATATAAATAGCCTTAGCATAAGTAGCCCTGTATGTTAGCAATCACATATGGCAACGTATCCTCAAAATAAGAATTGGAAGGCAAGCTTTGATACAGCGGATGTGGACACAGTTGTTGAATGAATTGTTTGCATTGTCCAGAAAGGAATTTGCTCATCAGGAGAGAGAGAAAGTAGTGTGTATCATGAGGACAGATGATAATCCCTTAACAATCTTGCCTAAAATTGTCCAGGAGAAATTAGGATTATTTTTGCTTGTGAGCTGACAGTGAGAATTTTACATCAAAGTTGATAGCAAAGAAGTTATCATTACAAGGCAGAAAAATCACTGTAGGTTCCTTCACTGTCATTGAGTAATTTGTGTCCAGAAGCCCCACCACCCCGCCAACCTTCACTGGTGGCTTAGACCAGCATATGACCGAAATATCCAAAAAGGAGCTAAGATCAGTCATTAGGAAAGAGGTCAGCCTCCTGCTCCCAATGAGAAAGCTTTCTGAGTACTCTAGAACCTATGCAGGCAATCCATGGATATTCTCATCCTTTAAAAGTCCAGCACAGCAAACGTGATCCAGAAAGGCATCCGCTCCCCTTTCTCCATCATGTTCTACAACTACACTCCCATTCTTCTCCCCAGAGATAACCACTGCTGATGGTTTGATACATGCCTTCCCAGAACTTGTTCTATGAATTTATATGCATACTAGAGGCCCGGTGCACAAAAATTTGTGCACTCGGGGGAGAGGGGGGGTCCCTCAGCCCAGCCTATGCCCTCTCAAAGTCTGGGACCTCTCGGGCGATAATGACCTGCTGGCTTAGGCCTGCTCCCGGGTGGCAGAGGGCAGGCCCAATCCTAGGTGCAGCCCCTGGTAGGGCCCAGAGCAGGGCCGATTGGGGAGGTGGGGCGCTGCCCCCTGTCATGCACAGAGCAGGGCGGATTGGGAGGTTGCGATGCCACCCTCAGTCACGCTCAGGGTAGGGCTGATTGGGGGGTTGGGGCACCGCCCCCTGTCACACTCAAGGCAGGGTCGATGGGGAGGTTGCGGCGCCACCCCGTCACGCTCAGGGTAGGGCCAATCAGGGGGTTGGGGCGCCGCCATTGTCACACTCAGGGCAGGGCTGATGGGGAGGTTATGGCTCTACCCCGT